TCTCTTATTAGTTTTAAAAAATATGATTCCCTCTTTGCAATGAATCCTTGGACCTTTAGATATCTTCCACTGAACATTTCCACGTGTTTCCCGTAAAGCTTTTCTCTCCTTCTCATCTTTCGGATGACTAGCACCATAAGTGATGATCAAGAGAACCACGACGGCCTTTTGTTTTGAGAGTAGGGGTGAGAAGATAATTGAGTTCCGCCCCATACATGCTGCCATTTGTTTCTGAATAAACATTAAGAAGAATCCTCCGGAACAATGGAATCTGTTTAGCATAAAATCTCTTGCACTCTCTATTATTTTGATGTGTCACCTAAACATATCAACATATCAAAAGCTATGAAGCTCGTCCACAAACAGGGAATCGGAGCCTAGGATTTTCTTTAAAAAGTGAGATTTCTGTATGGTTCTTTAGCTAAATGACAATCTTTTGTCTTGAGAGCCCCTGCTCTGCTAAAATGAGACATCATAATTTATTGCAATACATAAAATGGTAGACTTAGCATTCCATCAAGAACCATAACAGGCATAAAAAGCGACATTTTTATGAGGAAAATATGCAGAGACCATAATTCCTCTTAGTCAAAGTTGTCTGGTGAGCTATGCTGGAAGCAGAGTGGTTGAGACGCAGGGTGCAAAGATGCATGGATGCATCCTGATGAATTGATTACTAAGCTGGCAATTCAACTGTGTCTGTAATGTCAGAACTGATTTTTAGGGGCAAAATTTTCTTTAAAGACTTTCATACTTCTAAGTTTCCAAAATGCAGGATGGCAGGGAAAGTTCATTAACATTAATAAAAGAAGTGCTACCTGATCATTTTTGCACTACAACACCTTTTGGAAGCTCACCACTGTTTTGTAGCATAGAATAATCTCTCATAGTTAAGATAATCTTTGCTCAGCAACACTGTTTTGTAACACAACAAAGTCGTTTTTTTGCAGGCTACTGTAGCCATGGTGAAGACTCTGAGGTAGCTAACTAGCTTGCTATGTGAAACGTGTTAGCCTTAGAGATGCAAGACACATTTCAGTATCAGTTTAACATAGTGCCATCCGAAATTCTTCAAAAATCATGATATCTGCATTGGTTCAATGGGTCATTCTCGGCTGATATTTAAACTTCAATAACATGCAAAGTTAGCAGCATCAGAGCTAAAGACACAGCTACCAAAATAATGGAGATGGTGAGTGCCTTGGACAATCAGCTGTTTTGCATAGTGGGGGATGAAGGATTTTATCAGCTTATTCACCACTTACTGGCTTGCGACATGTTTATAGTTCATTAGTAAATGTGGTCTGCAGGTTACTGTTGTGTTTTTCTAGTTCACTAGTTTTCAACAAAGTTAAAAAAAGGTTTAAATTGAGGTTAAATAACAGATTAATGAAATTGAATTGTGTTACAAATTAAAGATTTTGGATACATCGAATTGTTCCCTCAATAATCGTGATCAGATTGAATCTCCTTGGGGCCAGTGATTTACACCCCTCACTCAGACACATCACTTTTAATGGCTTAAATGGATTTGGTAGAGTACTCCACCGACCCTGCAATTCACTGTGTAGTGACCATCAGATAGTCTCAGTAGATTGCTTACATTGCTAGGCAGGTCTTTCAAAATCTGTTAAATGGTATCAGTAAGAAAACTAACAGCTAACCACTGCACACCAAGACACCAGAATTTAAGAGCATATCTGGTAGATCTGTGTAGTCAGGAGGAACCTGCAGTACAGAGGTTTCTGGTTCTGATCCAGCTGAGTGGGTTATTGTTACATGGATGGAAACTGGAAGGAGGATGTCCTCCAAAATGCAAGGAATTGGTGGGATGATTTAGGTTAATTAAGTGTCTACTCTATACTAGAAGGACACATTCCACAGTCTGAGGTACCAACTCACATCCATACAGGTACTCTTCCCAGAATGCACCATAAACTTGCAGCAGGCTAAAGCTAATAATTTCAGATTTTCTAAATAGGTGGAGAGGATAGTAGGATCAGGAGGTTGGGCACCAACTTTTGAGGGGGCAAGAACGCTTTAGTGTGAGCTGTAAGAGCTGGTAAAACCACACAACAGCATTTCACTGGACTGCTGACAGAGTGACATACTGTTCCTGCCTGATTATATTTACGCATTTCTAGTTGAGAGTAATATCTGAACTTTAAAACTTACAGTATTTTTGGACAATTGACAGTTTATTACAACTATTAGAACTGCAGGTACTTTGTGTGTGCAGTCATATTTCACAGCCATGCACAGAAATATAAATAAATGTTAGAATGGGCAGGAGTTCGAAACACAGGAAGGATTCGAACAAGAATAGATTGCCTATAGCCTACACTCTGTCTTGCACAAAATGTGGGTGAAACTCTGTCCCACTCGGCAGCAACAGGATCAGGATAAACACAGATGGCATCAAAACTTTCGGAAAGCTGTATGTTTTTTTTTTTCTTGAAATATGGCAGAAACGTTGAGACAAACTTTTATTTGAAATCTTATGTGACAGTCCACTACAAATTGGCTAAGTACCAGTAGGGGGCGCCCAACACCACACATTCTGTTGGTGACTGGTTTTCTCACCATCTTCCAAAAGAAGCACCGACATGACATGGTTGGTGGCCGAAAGTTGCCCCAGCAAGGGGCAAAACAGGGTTCCCTATTAAGGATTTAAGCCAGTGTTCCACAGGAGCTCAGGATAAAGGAATTGGCAAACAAGAATCTGAGGAAATCTCCCCTGAAGGGACAACTGCCTCCTAATTAACACTTATGAATATTTTAAATAATTTTAACATACAGTTTTAATTGCTCCTCGAGGGATATTTGCCCGCACCTTTGTCTCCCATCCCTCCCTGCATGCCACTCTGATGGTGGATGCAGGTAGGACAAGATGCTGCATGTTACCTGGAGCTCACCTGTGAGCCAGCAAGTACCCAAATAGCCAAATGGTGCAGAAACTAGTGCAGATGTCCCTTACATGGGACCAAGATGTCATTGCCAGTTTGTGTACAATCTCCCAAAATGTCTAGTCTGTCTCTGGCCCTTGCTGAGGATGACATTGAGGTGCACCTCACTGTGTTTGTGCACCCTGCTGATAGGGAATGCTGAGAGTCTGCCTGGCAGCTGGTGTGGCTGGCCCATTGCTGGCATCAGGTGGAGCGCCACACACTGCAATAAGTGGTGAAAAGGTAGCTCTGGCCTTGTTCCTATACACCCTCCCCCACATTGAGTTGTGCTATTCTGACGACCTTACAGTCTCTGCTGAAATGCTTAATACCATTAAGCCATTGGACTTAGTCATTGCATTGCTCTGGATCCTGAAGGCCGGGCCTGACAAACCAATAGCAGCCCAGAAACAACACACCCAAGACTTACCCCTATGACCAGGACCTGAAGTTAACCACAGTGTGGAGTCTCTGGTGATCTGGAACCACCTCTTTCTGTGGGATGAGCCCACAAGGTTACCTTGGGTCAACCTTGTTTGGATCTTGGCCTCATTACCCTGCCCAGTTAGTCCTCTATAATTCCTCCCCCCCCTTGTACTTGGGAATGTGAGGAATGACCCTAGTGCCACAGCATACATTTTGAGCCCATTTTGGGGGAGTAGCTTATCAATCAGGGTGGAACCTGGCCTGCTATAGCCACCACTGGTAGGGTGGGATGACCTGGGTTTATAGAGAAAAGGTCTCTGTGCCTGATCTCAGCAGTTTGAGCCTCAGCCTCAGCAGAACAGTCACATGTCTGAGGGCCGTTGAGCAAGGCCCTTAACTCCCAGCTCAAGCGGTGCCGCACATTGGCTGGCTCTGGACTGACACCTAAGCTATGGAGAGCAGGATGGGTTTGGTGAAGAGAAGAATCCCAACTTTCCTTTGACGCAATAAAAGGGACCCTCACTACTGAACCAGCCCATTGTACCCCAGATTTCGAGCTGTCCAGGCTGTACATGGAAGCTTCAGACATCAGCTTCTTATATGTCCACTCTGAGCATTTCAGGGTGAGGAAAACCCAGTGTTGTTCATCTCTTGGAAGCTCAGTCCTACCAAAGTTATACTGGCATGGATTGCAAGGCCCTAGACATCAAATGGGCCATCCAAGAGTTGAGGTATTACCTTGGGCAGCCCAACACCCTTAGAGGACATCAACACCCAAATGACCAGCTGGTTCCTCACCCTCCAAGAGTTCACTGCCATGGTGGGTTTGTCTCATCCATGCCCTGTGTGTCCTCCAATCCCTTGTGCATCTTGCTTGGTGGCTCAATATGCTGCATATGGGGTTATAATGTGATGGTCCACCGGGGGCAACCAGTGCCACACAGTACAGTTACTGGTTTCCTCACCTTTAGCCAAAAGGAGTGCTAACCAGACCTAGCTAGCTAGTGGCTAATAATTGCCACCAGGACAAGAGGAGGAAAATCATCCCTAGAAAGATTTAAAGCCCATCCTAAGTATAGGAGCTTTAGCTGTTCAAGTGATCTCTATACACATAAATCTAAGAGGATTCCTGCCCTGAAGGAACTACTGCCTCCCGTTACTTTTGTATATTTTCTCCTAAATGAACATTGTCTCTCAAGGAGTATTCGCCTGTACGCTTGTCTGCTGTGCCTCCTTGCTCACCACATACGTTTGATATTTGGAGTTTGCGTGTGCTCGCAATGTCACGTGGGTTTTCTCCTAGTACTTCAGTTGTCTCTTGCAGTCCAGAGACGTGCGGTTAGGTGATTGGCATCCAGAGTTGTCCCTGGTGTATATGTGTATTCGTCCTGTGATCAAATAGGATTCATCGTGTTTCCCTGCCTTAGCCCGAGTGTCAGACACAAACTTGCAGGTGAAGATCTAGTTTCAGAGTTTAATTCTGAAAGCCATATTGCAAATCCAGCGTCAGAGTCTAAAATCCAGTTATGGAATGTGCTAAGTGGGTGCTAGGGGTATAGTGAATGGCTGGGGAGTAACGGTAGTTGTGATTGGATGACAAACTGGCTGTCACTTCTTACACTGGCCCAGGTGGTATAAGCTGCACTCCAAGTCAGGGAAGCGTGAGAAGGAGCGGGGTGAGGTCCAGGTGACCGTCCAGTTCACCCGCAACAACCTGACGGCCAGCATGTACGACCTTTCCATGAAGGACAAGCCGCGATCCGCCTTGGGCAAGCTGAAGGACCGCGTCAAGGGCAAGAAGAGGGGGGACGCCGAGACAAACTCCGCGATCGTGCCCAGGGGATACGCCGCCCTTTCGGGCTCGGGGCGCCTCGCGGGTGATGCCGGCGACGACGAGGACGGCGAGGAGGGGGCCTTGACCCGAAAGGGCAAGATAAAGGGCTTCTTTGGGAAGGGGAAGCTGCGGAAGACTTCAGACACACGCTCCAGCACGTCCCTGACCTCCGAGGGGAGCACGCTGTCCTCGCCCGGTGGCAGCCTGAGTCCCACGGCCGGTATCAGCATGGTGGTGTCTGACCTCTCCAACTCCCCCAGCAACAGCAGCAACCTGACGGCAGACAACAGCCCTGGTGAGGACGTGCTCGTAAGCGTGCAGGATTCTGTAAGCTTTAGTTAGTGATTCGCACGTAGTTTATTCTATATCACCTTGGCGGCAGCGATTTACTCGAATATTATTTTTATTTTCATAGTAGTAGCATCAAAGCATAGCACTATTTATTATTGATTACTTGTGTATATTAATGAAGGCCTGTAAGTCAGGGTTATAGGCTAGAAGTGATTCTTAGTGTTTAGAAGCTCAGAATGCATGAGATTTTTATAATATTGATGTACAGGCAGTTCCCTGTTTTCAAAAGAGATCCATTCCCTAAGTCTATCTTTAGGTTGAATTTGCAGGTAAGTCGGAAAAATAATAATACAGTCCATAGTAATAATAATAATAATTATTATAATTATTATTGTAGTTGTTGTTGTTATTATTATTATTATTATTATTATTATTATTATTATTATTATTATTATTATTATTATTATTATTATTATTAAAGTATAGAAAACTATATGTGCCACTGAACTGTACCTCGATTTGATGAACCGTTGCTGCATAATGTTTTCACAAGCATGTTCGTTATTGCGAAACATTGCATTAAACCCAAATTTTTTATGTAATAGGCTTTATGGCAGTCTGTTTGTAAGTATGAGTTGTCTGTAAGTCGGCCATTCTTAACCTGACGACTGCCTGTACTCGTATGGCCTTAAGATAAGCATGTCCTGATATGGAGAGGGAACCACGAACGGTGAATGGTGTGATGACGTCCTCCTCCTCTCGTCTGCCCTCCCAGTTCACACTACACAGCCCTCCCCGCTGCTGATGACCCACAAGAGGGCATTCAGTGACGAGGCCAGCAAGGTGACAGCCTTCCTGCCCGCGCCCCGCGCCGTGGAGAACCTGAAAGCACAGAGCACAGCGCTCTCACGCTCCACGCTGTGCATCAACGGCAGCCACATTTACGGAGGCGAGCCGGCCGTGCCCCGCAGCGTCAGCGTGCTGCAGACCCGGCTGGGCCTGCTGGACAAGTGCTCGCCCCTCTCCCGCTCGCTCCAGAATCTCACCCGCCGCAGCGAGGACCCCGCCAGGGCCGTGGGGGCTGCCAGGCGCTGGTCTTTCGACAGGGCCGGAAAGGAGGAGAAGTCCGTCGTGGCCCCTGCACCAAAGCAGCCAGACGGGGGCCTGGAGGAGCAGGTCCAGGGGCAGGAGGCCCTTGCAGCCGCAGTGGTAAAGCCTGAAGCTGCTAGTGAGGAAAAGAAACCGAAGAGGAACCTGTTCTCCCAGGGCAAGAGTGATTCCGCTGGGAAGGGAACAGACTTGGGCAAGGGCCAGCCGACCCAAAGTGCCCCCACTACCGAGGAGAGACACAGGGGCTGGTTTGGCACCAAGGACCCACAGAACAAACCAAGGTAAGTGTTTGCCCTTCCCGTCCTGGGTTTTTAAAAGTATCCACCTGGGGTAAATCCTCTTAGCTAGTAGCAGACCTTCAGGTGAGTAAATAGGGCATTAAGAGATGCAAGGCTAGATACTGTAAAACATCATTGGATAATAGAGGCTTCATATTTAGGTTAAACCAGATAAATGGATAAACAGATGATTGATACATTGTTCTTTACACACCAAAGGTATTAATTTAAAATTATTAAGCCAAAGGTAAGTCCACTAAGTACACAATATGGATATTAAATTTAACTTCCCAAAAGTTTTTATTTTTATTTTTAGCGTTATAAATTGTATCTTCATTTTTTAATTACTAATTGCTGATAATAATGACAAATTACTACATTTACCTTTAATGCCAAGTGTAACTAGGACACTACCAGAAGGGACACCCTGTATCAGGACAGACGTATACGTGGATTAAACACTGAATCCATGTGTTTCCCTTAAGAGGGCAACATCCTGAACGTGAGCCAGTCGTTCCTGATAGAAACTTTCCAGTCGAATGCCCACGAGGCAGTCATTCCCAGATAACATTATCTGCAAAGTTTTCCTTGTAAAGAAGACGCCAACTACTGCCTAAAATGGCCAGAATACGGTCAAATGGTTATTAATAAGAACAAGGATCTGATGATTTATTTATTATTTAAACGGGGTGTTGTGGGAAAGCTCTCGCAGGCCTACAATGCTGTTCAAAGCATGTGCTTTGATTGTGGGGTTGTTCAGGATTAGGGCCTGGCTTGATTATCTCTTATTCCATAATTGCTCATTTGCTGGCTTTTTGTGGTTTTACCAAACCCCATGTCCTGTGACAGCATGCTGGGAAGCCTCTGGAGCCTGCTGAGAACTCTAATCACCTGCTGAGTTTTATGTTTAAACTAAAATACGTCAGATCCCTGTGTATGGTAACTACATACATGGATAATTGCTCTTGGCTCCTGATGTACTGTATAGGTAACGACTGCAGGGTGTAAGTGAAGGTGGTGAGGAAGTGCCCCGTGTTCTGGGACGTAACACAGTTCCAGTCTGAATAGTGCCAACATCTGCAAACAGCTGAACTTTAACACCACTGCAAATGGGGTTGGACAAACCAATGTTTCCTGATTCATCTATATTTTTATTGTGATCATTTTGGGAACTATGCTGTACTGCAGCAAGTTTTGAATATTTTCCATGTGGAATGGAGACTTTCATTGCTTATGTTGTCAGATATTTCATGTGGGTCCGATTCCAGTCCCTTTGTTCCAAACACAGTAATAATCTAGGGGTCGGTTCCCAGGTCATTAGAGTTCTTCTTTTTCTTTGGTATTTGGTTACCACTAACAAAAACACTAAATTAAAACAAAAATTGAAACATGAAAGAGAACCTCCTGTGGTATTCAGTGAGGTTCTATGCAGTTTCTGTGACTGGGTTCTGCATTCTTCTGTATTTCCTGATCTTGTCTCTGTCGTCAGTTCAGCTGGCTGTTTTGTCTGTGAGAATATACTGTTTTTAATAAGACCCAGCTAGGCATCATTAATGGTATGTTTGCATGGTTCTGGGCTCATCCCTACCAGACTCAGACCTGGATCACACAGAAAACTGCTAACTTTAAGAGCCTTTGGGTTTTTGTTCTTGCTAATTTGGTGTATTGTAATCATCTCTGCATGCTGCTTTGAGATCCAGACATCTTTCTCACATGGTATTTTAAACCATCTCTTTATTTCTCAGTACCAGGCAACTGCCTCATCACTGTGATCATGTTTAAACAAATTTGACATTTCTGGAAATATTACATTTGACGCATAAACCTAAGCACAAATGATTTTACTCAAATTTAAAAGATATGTCTTGCCTGGGAGCATTTGTCTCCCTTATGATATTGTAAAATGAAGCCTGATGAAATATGACTGAAAGAAGGTCACTATCTCCGATCAGAATCCTTTGGCTTGGAATGGCTTTGTCATGCCTGTCCCTTATTTTAGCTCCATAATCTTTTCTGCAATCTCAGTTTTGACATTTCATTCTTTTACTTTAAATACAGCTAAATGTTCGAAATTGAAGATGACCTCTTGTTGCTTACTGCAAACCTGAATCTAAAACGGCGTGACTTATCTCAAAACAAACATATTAAATAGACTTGTATCTGTTACTGCTAACTCCTTCAGTATTTCGGTATTGATTAGAGCATACCTATCTAGAACCAAAACAAACACAGCTAATAAAATGTTTCTGTTATACTAAACTCAAAGTTTGTATGCTTCTTTTAAACACCCACCGCACAATGTGGAATGAATCCTTTAGAAAATGAGTCAGCTTACTCAAAAAATAGTGCACAAAGAAACCTGAAAAGCAGAGATGCAGCACATCAGCGACCAGAAAGCTAAGTAGATTCTTCACAGAGCGGTACTGATATTTTCTGTTTCAGAGAGACGTAGTTAACCTGTCTACCTGGGGTGGCCATGTTGTCGCCCCTTACTTACTGCAGACCTTCTCTAAGCTGGTTGGCTTGTCCGTGGCTCTGATCTAACTAAGAGGACTATCTGTGCCTTCCCTCCACAGCCCGGAAGTGTCTCCTAAGGTAGAAACCAGCTCAGATGCGCCCTTTCACCTCTCACCTCACTCCCCCAATCACCTTTCCCCCAGTCCTAGTCCTGCTCTTGCCCCCAGCCCGACTGCCCTGGGCAGCCCCCGCCATGCTAACCCCTTCACCCCATCGCCAGCCACCCCCCCGATATCTCCCTCAAACCCCTTCTTTACCCGTCTGCAGTATAACCCTTTCTTTGAGGAGCTTATAGCTGACCAGGCTCTTAAAACTGTATCGCCTGCTCCCTGCCCCCCCAATTCTACCCTCTGGCCTTCTGCACCTCCCCCCAACTGGCCTGGTACCTGTCCTTCCAATAATAACACTCAAGCCCTGCAGGAAAATATTGCCTCCAAGAGGGACCGTCCTACGGGTGTCTGCAGACAGCAATCCCTACCTGCACTGCTCCCGAGATCTCCCGGTTCCCCCAGCTTGCCTGCCACGCGCTCCATGTCTGCCGAGTGGGACGACTCATTCGAGGCCTTCGCTTCCAGCAGGCTGAGGTCACAGAAAGCCCCGACCCCTCAGACGCCACCCAAAGCGCTGTCCCCTCACAGGGCAAACAGTCTCCCTCGAAGCAGACCAACGTGTTGCATTAAGGAGGAGACCTCTGCGGACCTTGAGCCTGACGGGAAAGCCCCCCCACTGCCCCCACGCAGGCCCGTCAAAGAGGTGCGACCAGACAGCTGGTTAGACCGAGCCGAGGAGCTGGCGGTGAAAAAAGAGGCATGCTTGTTGTTCCAGACAGATGTAGCATCCATGCTGCACCAGAAGGAGGTGGATTATGGGAGAATAATGACCTTTCCTTCCCAGCAGAACTCATCAGATACGGAATTATTCACAGAAGGAGGTGCAAGCAGTTGTCCTAGTGGCTGTAGTCCATCCCCTTTGAATTTACTGAACAGCAACACAGGGACCACTGGACACTACAACAGTAGTCTGGAGACAACTGCAAGTAAAGCTGAAAACAGGAAATCCTCACCTGAGGACAAATGTATTTCTGAAAGTAATTTGGATAATCTCAATAACTTTAAGTCTGAAGCCTTTGAGGGAGAATCTGAGAAACCTTTAAGTGTTAGTAGTCCTGGTTTTGCTGAAGAATCCAAGAAAGATACAAATATTTCAGCTTTAGAGCTTACCATAAATACACCTGAACTCCAGAGTGACACACTGAGCCAATTTGTCACTGAAATGGCAACAAATAAATCAGATGTCGTTGGAGGAATCCAATCTCACAAACTCTTAGAAGCTAGCTTTAAAGACTTAGATGTTATCACAGATATCGCATGCAAGAAAACGTCTAAAATAGCCACTGTTTATCCAAGAACTAACAAAATGACCAACTCACTTTGCCCGGCCTTACAAGGTCCCACTACAGATCTCGAAGGTGTTCCCAAAACAAAAGAAGTTAACAATAACTACCAAAATATAGTGGCTTCCAGTGCTGTTCCTGGGATCATCATTACTGAAAGTTACTCCAAACCTTCAAGTTCTTTTGCTGAGATCTGCACAGAACCTAGTGCTCTTGAAAGCATTTCTCTTGAATTTATGTCAGAAATTTACAGAAATGCAGCTGAAACGTCTGTTGTGGAGCCAGACTTGTCTGTTTCTGTAAAACCTATGAAACTCACAAATAACCTTGTTTTGCCTCCTGCGGATAAATTCCAGTCGGCATGCAATTTGACAAGGGCAACTGAAAAGGAACCAAGCTTTGGAAGAGCACCCAGCCTGACCTCAAGAGCTGAAGTGAATCTAGATAACAAACTTCAATGTTCAGTGCTTGACTTTCAGCACAATGACATGAACCTCAATGACTCAACTTTGCCAGTTATGCATTATAATAACACTTTTAAAGGAAATGCTGAAGGCATTTTTGGAAATAATCTAAATGTCACTAACACTTTAACCTTTGATTGCTCTGAAACGAATCCACCAGCTCCTGCGAACTCTGATTTCTTTGTAGTTAACCTTAATACTGCCAAAGAACATGGGTTGTCTGAGGCAACAACAAATGAGGAATTTGAAAACTCCTCAAGAAAGGACACTTGCAATGAGACGGTGCCTTTGAATGCTACAGCTCTACCTCCTCCTGAAGAGCCTTCATCTGGAACAATAGATGATTCTACTAATGAGTTCCAAATTTCAAACAGACCCGCCAAAGACTCTGTGATAAGGAAAGAAGAAGGGATCCATGCCTCTAAGCCACCCGGGCTGTTCAGCAGTGTCCCTGTGATGGTAGATAAGGATACATTGCAAAGCAAGGAATTACATGCCAAAGGGTCATATCCTGATGAGCATTGCCTCAGGAGCCAGATGATCAGTGCTGCAAGGGATGTAAATGAACCCCTTGGAAGGAGGGTTCATTTACAGCTGCCTTTCGAACAGCAGAGAGACGAGTGTGCTTCACCTGTTACATTGAGTCTTGCCTCAACAGTCTCCCAAGACCAAGAAATAACCCCAGAATCCCGTTTTGTCAGGACTGAGTTAAAACATGACCATAAAGAATGTACTCCAACGGAGCAGCCTCTTTCAGAGAGCACGAAGGAGAACAGCTTTAAAGACCTTCATGCCAAATTAGCCCCCGACTGTAGAAGCCTCAAAGATGACTTTCCTTCTGGAGACCTTCTGCATGTCCGTACCCACCAGGCTTCCTCTACCTCCTCCCCAGTAGCTAAAACTAATTCCCAGCCTGCCCTCTCCCCCTCTCCCATCCTGCCCCTCATGACTGTGAGGCCATCAGAAGGGACCGCCAAGGTCGCCGCCCCCTTCTCCACTGTCCTACCACTGATTGGTGCAGCGCACACGGTTTTGCCCGAGGAGACACAGCCGGCCTCCAGCATCCTGTCCCGTCATGAGAGCAGGTGAGACAAACATCTAGCTTAGAAGACGGTCCAACACTCCCTCATTGGTGACTAGCCCATCCCACTCATTCTACCTGTACACCTCATGTTATACTATAGTAATATCAGTGTATTACAGCTGCAGGGGATATCATTGTACAGAGGGGGAGGAGGGGCCCTCACAGGAAGTGAAGCGTCAACCTTATTGGCTTGAATAAAACACTTCACTAACAAATGACCTTAAACAGCATTGCAGGCTGCAGAGCTGAATGAATATACTGTAATTCCAGTTATAGTATTTAGCGTAAAACACTCAACAGCTGTTAAATAAACCTATAACCTTAATATAACCCTATAAAAACCTACGTAGAGCAGTTTCTACCATAATAATATAACAGCCAATTGTATATTTATATAAATTAGTTATTTCACTATTCACTTGCAATAATTATAGCAGCTTTATTAGTCTGAGTGGATTTATCAAGCCTTGGCTTTTTAGCGAATTCTTATGTTTATGTTGTTTCCCTTTTTTTTTAACAAGAATTGACTCAAATTAAATTAAAAAGAATGAAGTACACAAATTACATTGCATCATTATGATACTTAAAAAGATGTTTTATTTTGTTACAGTATATGTGGCAATGATCAGGTGGTAAAAATGGTGCTTAGGAACAATCGTAGCAATGCTAATAGAATTACACTGCATGCATCACGGGGGCGGCATGGTGGTGCAGTGGTTAGCGCTGTTGCCTCACACCTCTGGGACCTGGGTTCGAGTCGCCACCTGGGTCACATGTGTGTGGAGTTTGCATGTTCTCCCCGTGTCGTCGTGGGGTTTCCTCCAGGTACTCCAGTTTCCCCCCACAGTCCAAAGACATGCTGAGGCTAATTGGCGTTGCTAAATTGCCCTTAGGTGTGTATGTGTGAGTGAATGGTGTGCAAGTGTGCCCTGTGATAGGCTGGCCCCCCATCCAGGGTTCTTCCCTGCCTCGTGCCCATTGCTTCCAGGATAGGCTATGGACCCCCAGTGGGATAAGCGGGTTGGACGATGGATGGATGGGTATGCATCACAGCAAGCACACACATTGTTCTGTATAATTTTAATATACAGATTTTTTTTTCTTCAGTCTGTCAGTGAAAGACGTGCAAGCAATGTCTTAATTTAAGTAGAAGATGTGTTTCTCTAACTGGCCACAAGAGGGCAACCTGATCCTCTTTACTGCACCGCGAGTGGCCATGAAGCGCAAACTCCCGTTGATATGAATATGACATGCCCACTAATCAGGCCTCATTGGGATTCTGTTTAAACTGCATGCAGAGCTCTGCGTAGTGCTTAGTCTTGAAGCTCTTTTCTTCAGTTCAAGGCTAATCATTATTGTCTCCATAGTTAATCCGTGGTTCCTGATCCATGCCTGGTATCTTGCATGAACGGTTTGCCCGTTCTTCCTGTAATTGTCAGTTGTTTCTAGTCTGTTTGGTCTCCTGTCTTATTAGATGTGTCCCTAACGTTGCCTTGTGCTCTGATCCAGTGCTTCTCCATTCTACTCTCTGCAAGGATTCAGCAGTTTTTCCCTGATATCTTGTCCTGTTTACGTCCAGCCAAAGCAGCCGTCCACTGCTATGCTGCACAATAGTGAGCACCTAGACAGTGTGTGGGAAACCAAACATATCAAAATACATATAAAACTATATAAATAAATATAAAACTACTGGGAACCTGAAACTAAACATGAATATCTCTCTATTTCAGATACCAATAAATATAGATTGATCTTTCAAACTATTATAAAAAATGTTTTAAAAGGACCTTTGCAGGTGCTGATAGGACTGATATTGTGAGCTGTTTTTCTGATGGTGGTGGGGAATTGAGCTGAACTGATGAATAGATGAATACTGTTGTTTATAGCAGCGTGACCTGCATTTTTCAAGAAGCTGATGTCTGACGTAAAATGGCATAAATCTCCACTTTGGTCTGTCGGAGCTTCTCATGCTGCTAATAACTTGATATGATCCGGTCTCCAAGCCGTCTTGAGAAATTACAGTGGTTATACTTACAGTATTTAATGGAGCCGAATTTGTAATGGACAACAGCAAGGTATCCATAGTTTCTTGGAATGGTAAATCATGGTTGTATCTGCTCCCATAGTTTCAGAACTCCTTTTTTTACATAATTGCACTGTTAATACCCAGGAGATCAGCACAAACTGAAGTAAATAGCGATGACATATGGCCAGTGTTCCACTTTCTGTTACCCAGCAAACAAAATGGAGGTATTGTGCAGAAGCTACTGGAAAGGAATGAGGGTGCAAGGTCACGTGCTTATGGAGAGAGATGTGAGATGGTAACGAAGGACAGACAGAACCTGGGGGCCATGACAACTGCATCAGCAACAAGGTTAAAGTGAGGCAGCTTTTAGCAAACATCTGCAGCTACAGGCCTGCGGGATTGTTGTTAAGTAATAAGCAAAATGCGTTATACAGTCTGACATCCTTCTGGTTGTCACTCGGCTGATAAGAACACAAGAAATTTACAAACGAGAGGAGGCCATTTGGCTTATCGAGCTCGTTTGGGGAGAACTCAACTAATAGCTCAGAGTTGAAATTATAACGTTTTCTCACAGACCCTAGTTAAACAGTAACATTAATACAAAAAAAAATAAAAATTTTCTTACTTGTATTTTTACATTTTTATTTTTTTTGTATTAATGTTACTGTTTAACTAGGGTCTGTGAGAAAACGTTATTTCAATTCTCTGTGTGTTCTGTACATGTGGCAGAACTGACAATAAAAACTGACTTTGACTTTGTTAAAATCTTGTCTAGCTCTGATTTAAAGGAACCCAGGGTTTTAGCTTCCGCTACACTAGCAGGAAGACTATTCCATACTCTAACTACACGCTGTGATAAGAACAGACTCTCAGTTGGTCATTTTAGGTCAGGAATTTAGGCTTTTTTCTGAGGTTTTATAAATGCTATTGCTAGGTAAAGAGGCTGGCATCTCACTCTTGGTCACTGTCATTTTTCTACAAGGTATTCGAACCTCATTATCTCCATGTAGATGAAGGGTGAGATTTTGCCTGCACTGGAGAGCTACTGGAAGTGCCCCCCCCTACCACCACCCCCCCAACCCTCCCCCACC